GTAATGCATTACAATATTGCGTTACTTCCTAAAAAAGTAACTAATTACGTTACTTTTTATTGAAAGTAATGCGTTACGTTACTTTTGCGTAACTTTTAAAATCTGGGCGGGGCTTGCTTGTTTGCTTTTAATATAAAAAAGTTATATTTTTGGCAAATATAAAAGCCCTTTCACACCAAAAGCCTCAGGCTGAAGGAAATGTAAATTCACGTCTGTACAGTAGAACACAGAAGAAGAAAGTTCAACACTCTTCAGCAATAAAAAGAAGAAGAAATGTTACAGTTTATCATGTGTAATTTTTGCTTAGTATGATTGAATTGGATCATCGAAGGTCAGCAGCAAATTGGTTAATAAAATGGGATTGAATACATAAAGGATATTTGTATTATTTAACATTTAATTATTGCAGCTTTGTGACATTCTGAGTTGCTTTAATTTTGAAGAAAACTAAATCTGTTTTTTTGTGTGTGAGTGAGATGAATTAAAGCATGTTCACATTTATTCTAGAACTAAAGTAACATCTTACTCCCGATTTCTCTCAACACGGGGACAGGAGAGCTTTCAATCAATAAATGGAATAAAAAAGTAACTGGCGTTACTTATTTGAAAAAGTAACTCAGATATTTTCTTCTAAATTAAAAAGTAATGTGTTACTTTACTAGTTACTTGAAAAAAGTAATCTGATTACGTAACTCACGTTACTTGTAATGCGTTACCCCCAACACAGAGTCAGAGAAACGGGCTTTCGCATGGTAAAGCCGACGGTCGGCTAGCAAATGAGTCAGTCCGTGCCAATTAAAGCGAAAGTGATGAAAACTAGTAAGTAAATGAAGGCGGCACCGACAGAAGGCGGTTCTAAAGTTACGTGATCTTTCCCAAGCATTCCAATTAGGGCTGGGCGATGTTTCCGATTTTATCCATTAATTCGAGTTTTATTTTTAGAAATCGAGGAATCGCGATTTTAAATAGAAATATTACCAAACGTTAGAATTAGACACTTTTACAAAATGCCGGTGATAACAGAATGCGCTTTTGTTTTGTGTTGTGTTGAGTAGTAGTAGTATATTTTTTATTTAATGCCATGTAGCGAACCTTTATTACGTGACGAAAACGAGACGAGACGAAAATGCTGGTCATGTGACGATTAGACTAAAATGCTCAGACTTTTAGTTGACTAAAACTTGACTAGACTAAAAAGAGTATGAACGTGACTAAAACTAATAAAAACTAAAATGACAGTTTCACACAAAGACTAGACTAAAACTAAAATTAAAACAGGCCGCCAAAAACAACACTAATGCCATGTCAGCATCTTAGGCTATTTTCATTGCAAAAACAATTCAAGTATAACAAATACAATAGAAACCAGCAAGCAAACAAACACAAGTTATATTACACAAGATTTTTTACATCAACGTGTGATCAAAATTCTAACTTTTTCTGGCAAAATTATACTAAATAACTCTTAAGTGAGTTCACTTCATAAAAGAGTTTTCTACATACATTAAAAGCGGGACAGTCCAATAAAATATGCATTGAGTTTGGTCTTCCGCTTTTGTGTTGATAAAGATGCGACGCGGGCAGTGGAATAGTAAAAACATGCAAGAAGATGAGAGTGAGCTTCTTTTAACTTGAGCGGCGTGTTTATAGAAAGCGGTTTCATGCATGAGACGCTGCAAGAGACGCGAGCGCAGCAGTCAAACGCGTCCATGTTTACACAGAAAAAACTATGGAAAAGCAGCGCAAGCGAATAAAAAAACCTGTAACTACTACTGTATGTCTGATATTGCATCATGGTGACAGACTGAAAGCTGCTGTTGTTTTACAGAACATTTATAGTTAATAATAGTCTACTGCTGTTATTATACCTTCAGTCATTTTTAATTACCTTGACTTTTGAATTTTTTTTAAAGCATTTTCTTGTATTATTTCTGAACATATAATATGTATAAGACAAATTTGCACAAGATGTAGTTGTAGTTCATGCATCTTTTCTGCAAAAATATTTATATGATGCAATTTCAATTGTTCCTTTCTCTTTGGAGTGTTACAAGCTCTTGGTGCATAAAGAAGATCTGTAAAGTTGCAAAGACTAAAGTCTCAAATCCAAAGAGATATTCTTTATAAAAGTTAAGAGTCAGCCACGCCTACCTAAAACGGCTCGTTCTAACACGCCCCCACATACCTACGTCACTATGTGGGAAGATTTGTATGTGGAAAATAATGTGGTTTTTGAACCTTAAACCGCATAAACACATTTCATTACACCAGCACCTCCCACACTGCCCTCGCTCTCCGCAGGAATATCCTACAACACACACACACACACACACACACACAACCCTCAGAAGACGCATCCACAAAACATCTCTGCAGTAGTGTTCATTTTGTCAGCTATTTTCAATTTTAGTCTTGTAAGGCATTTCCGAACATCACACAAACCAGATGAGAGTCGTAAAAAGCTGAACCATGGCCAGCCAGGCGGCAACTTTCTCCAATGAGTTCCTGTCTCGCTCTGCTTATCTTTACAAAGAAAACACGGAGCTACTGATGTGCCAGGCCACCTCCATGTCGACACAATACTAAGACAACAAGAACTGACCCCTCCCATCTGGATCCGTTTAAGCTACAGAAGGTCAGTAGGTTTCGTGACTGGTTTCAGCATCAATAAAACATCTAATGGACCAAAGAACAAAGAGGTCTAATACTTAGACAGAGTCCTGCACAGAATCGCACGAACCTCATGACCATTTGACGCATAAATTGCTAAATCCGATCAACAAAAGAGACAATTTTATAGCCCCTGTCCAGCAGGAGAAATTTGGCAGACTCCTCAACTCTGACACAAAATTGACCTCAGGACATCTTCCCTTTTTCCCCTTTGCGTTCCAAAGAAAAAGACGATTTCTGAGACAATCGTTGAAAGTATGAAAATATCGGAGCATAGAGTCACAAATAATATGTTGTATGTCTTAGATATATATACTTGATGTGTTCATTTAATCGGTGCAACGTTAAGCAGTGTTTAACTCACATTGCGATATTTTATTTTTCTGCAATATGAAAAAAAAAAATCACCACATGACTTTAATAGTTTATTTGGAAAAAAAAAAGATTGGGGTGATTTTGTAGGCGAGTAAATCAGCATAGAAAATAAACAAATTACAAGCATAGATAAATATAATAGAACAAA